GGATTTAGTCCTTACTCCAATATCTGCCTCAATTTCAGTAAAAGGAAACAGCAAACCATTTCTATTCAGGGCCGGACTAAACTTTTGTGGGCCCAGAGCCAAATATATTTGTGGGCCCCCATGGGACACTAAGCAGGAGCGCCAGAACCTTCCCCTGCCCCGCCTCTTCCCCCTCCCTGCCAAGCCCTGCTGCTCTCCCTCCTCCCCCTTCCCCATCACTCCATCCACTCCACCTCCCTCCCATCTCTCCCAGGGTTTAAGCAAAGTGAATGAAGTCACTGCATGCTTTGCCTTTATATGGCCATATACTTCCTTTCTGACAAACAAGAAAACTTAATCACATGGACCAACTATCCACTTCCAGGAAATGCAGGCATAAACACGCATGAAACTTTCCCCCATAAATAAGCGTAGTTTGGTCCTTCAGAACCCCATACAATTTTTGACCGCTCAGTGCATGGCACCTTCTAAAGCCAGATCTTAATTACATTTATTACTAAATAATGTCTTAATCTGATAAATAAGAGTAATTGATTTTTGGATGCCAAAGAAATTAAAGACTTCTGGACATGGTAATAAACTCTACATAATAATAAAATTATAAAATAAAGCAATATATTGTATATATACCAGAGATTAGAATTAAAATCCTTGAGATTTCAATATTTGTACAGAGAATAAAATGCACAACTTCCAGTAACAACAATAAAAAACTCACGTCTAATGCTCTTTTCACTGCGCTGAAGAGTGTGGGGTTTATTTTTTGCCTTCATAGATCACTATTTCTTAATTTCTGGGGGGGAGCCCAGGGCTGGGTTGGCAGGGGGCTGTGGGTCGGGAGTGAGGGGTACTGGCAGAGCTGTGGGGGACCCCAGGGCTAGGCTAGCAGGGGGCTGCCCAGGTTGGTTCCCAGAATGAGGCAGGAGCCAGGAACAAGCACAGCAGGGGTGTCAGTCCCCAGAGTGAGGCAGGGGCCGGGGACAAGGGCACAGTGAGGCGGAAGTGGGGTGTCGGTCCCCAGAGCAAGGCAGGGGCTGGAGACAGGAGCACACTGTGGGGGGAGGGGAGTCAGTCCTCGAGCGAGGCAGGGTCTGGGAGCAAGAGCACAGTGGGGTTGTCGGGGTCAGTTGCTGGAGCGCGGCAGCGTCTGGGGGCAAGAGCACAGCGGGGTGGGTGTGTGGACAGGATCCTCCTGGGTGCAGCACGGAGCCGGTACCTACCTCTCTCTGCTGGAGCCAGGTCCTTGGGAGCCAGTTCTCTCCAGCTGAGCTGCAGTCCTCCAGGCGGCAGTAGCTGCTCTTCCCACCCTCCTGGCGGGGAAGCTAATTGTGCTTACTCCTCTAACTGGACTTTTAGGCCTTGGCTACACTTACCCGCTAGTTCGACGGCTGGAAATCGAACTTCTGGGTTCGACTTATCGCGTCTAGTCTGGACGCGATAAGTCGAACCCGGAAGTGCTCGCCGTCGACTGCGGTACTCCAGCTCGGCGAGAGGACTACCGCGGAGTCGACGGGGGAGCCTGCCTGCCGAGTGTGGACCAAGGTAAGTTCGAACTAAGGTACTTCGACTTCAGCTACATTAATCACGTAGCTGAAGTTGCGTACCTTAGTTCGAATTAGGGGGGTAGTGTAGACCAAGCCTTAGTGTACTGCCAGGTCCACTTTTCGACTGGAAAGTCCGGTAGAAAAACTGGACACCTGGCAACAGGGGCACCGGAAGAGGGGCCCTGTCACTTTTAAAAGTGGGAGGGCTATGCTTCGTTTTTCCTGCCATAAGGAGCAAGGGCAGGGCCTTGGGGAGAAGAGGCCAAGCATGGGTGGGACCTCAGGGAGGAGCAGAGCCACCATCTGGGTGCTGGTGTGGGCCCCTTCTGAGTGTGGACACAGCACCATTGTAAACCTGGTACTGTTTCTATCAATGCTGATACTTTTAAAAGTAACACCCCAAAAAAAAAAGCATACAGCAAACAACTTACAGAGACAGTAAGGTAGAAGAGAGATAGAGAGAGTGCATAGAATTAAATGAACAAAAAATGGCCAGTTTATTTACTGGGACAGTAATACATTACACTGTAATTTTAATTGGAACATAATTATATGTATATTGGCTTCTTTTAATTGATTTCTTCAGCACTGGATTGTTTTTCTCAACCATTTGACTGCGTGATCATACTACACATGTACAAGCACATACTTTATGAATCCTTCACAAGGCATTCACCTAGGATTATCTATAGGTATAAGAAACATGGCAGGGAAGGGTTAACATGGGGATTATGTTAACTTGAAATACAAATGATGCATTTTTGGAACCAAGAATTATTCAACATTTTTTGCTTTTAAACAAAAGGTAGCAACAAGAAGAGTTTCTCATGTTCAATATTTTAGTCAATGAGCACATATACTTTTGTATTCTTCATCATCCAGAAACACTCCATCATTTAAGCCCAGGAAGGCATTACAACATAATTTCAATTCAACATAGGAGTAGCCAAGTCATAACAGCAGTAAACATACAGTACACAAATTTGTGTTTGTCACAAACATCACCAATGTTAAAACTATTTGGAAATTAACACAGCAATTGGTATGGTTTGTTAGATACAGATCATCATGCAAATAGCAATGTTCAGTAGATTACAAAAGTCACAAAACATCAGATTTATTTGTTTTTTACATTTTTTTTTTTACAAAGGATCAAGTTAATTAACCCTTTAACAGTCAAACCATAGGGCTTGAGATTAGTAGGGCAATAATTAATGAGATGCACTTAATTTACCCACTGGCATGGTGCACAAAGCCATACCTGTGAATAATAAACAAACAAATAAATAATAATAATTAATAACAATAATAGTAACCATTTTAAAAGCTAGATTTTTCTTATTTCTTCTTCACAGCTGATTAAATGAACCAGCTAGCAAGCCAGTTCATTTGTGTCAGCCTCTTTTGTTCATTAATCTCCAGCACACCTTTTAAATCAAACACAAGTTTTAATAAAAAAACATTTGTTTAACCATGTTTACTAATGCTGAGAAAAACCATACAATAATCTCCACTGTTTCTATTACAGCATAATAATGATGAGCAAAACAAACACCTCCATATAAAGACAGTAATTGAAACCCAAGGCCCTATCATCCAGAGTCTGACAACAAATTAACTACATTTATAGAATATGGGAATTATCTTATGTCAGTTTGTCACTTTGTTGACTTTAAATTTAATAGAGGGGCATTTTCAATAACTCCACAGGAAAGAAATTAAAATGCAAGGAGGATTTAAGCCGTACTTATGATGTAAAGTACAGACTCTGTGTAACATCTGTCTTGCATTTCTGACACGGGGAGTAAGAAATCATACAAGAAGTAAGAATTCTCTAGCTTCATCATCATGCTTAAGGAAAAGGCTACATGATTTAAAGAATCTCATGCACAAACTTTATATTGCATATTTAGGTGCATTTGTGCCTTAAGGCTAAAGGCAATTAGTTGCTTTTTTGTGTATTTCTTTTTCACAGAATATTTAAAAATTAAAAAAAAAACATTCATCAATGGTGAAAAAAGTTCTGAATACTGTATATCTCCTTAAGACATACTGCATGTACAGCAGGAGAAAAACTGAAGTAAATTGATGGCAATTATTTTTAAAGAGGTAAATATAGCAATGATCATGCTTCAAATGTAAAACATCAGTGCCTGCCATTTTCAAATAAAGACTTCTTTAGTACAGAAAGAAACAAATTTACTGCAACTCCAACAGATGTACTTGAGAAAGAGAACAGACCTCTGAAGAGCTTGTGTAATCTATAACCTCATTATGCACTCGGTCCATTTCTACTGAAATTAATGGCAAAATTCCTCCAGTGATGCAAGGTGAAGTTCTAAAGTAGCTAGCATGATATGGGCCCAGTTCTGCTTGCATTGCATCCACTGTAAGCAGGATTGCTCCCCATGTAACTAGCTGCTTTATGTAAACACTGATACTAATATGATTTCAGGTTGGCAGCCTTCATTGGCGATGTCTTTATCATCTTTTAAAACATCCTCCTCCTTTTGCTTACAGATATGTATGGCAAATGGTTAAAACCACTCCATATTTTTAAACAGGAAAAAAACTGAAGCATAATCTTGGCATTAAAACTCTCCACCTTACCTTAATAATAAACAGTTTCAGTCTACTAATTCTACTGTATAGCTATAATTACATTAATTCTACTTGGGTTGAATAAGCATGGAGATGCCAACCTGTCAGAGATCAATTAAAAAGGATCTCCCTGCTGCCTCTATCTAGAAGGCAAAGACTCTTACATGATTTGAGATGGGAAATGATCTATATTTTCTCTTTCTATAAAAGTTTCAAGGTTACCTTCTGACGCTGGTAGAAAATATATTCTTCTTCACTCCCCTGTTTTACAATTTTCTATTAATTCACTTTCTTCTCATCTTATATTTTAATTTGATTTACACGGTTTATTTTGTTTTCCTTCCACAAATTTCCAGTAACTGGCTGTTCAGACATGGATCATTTGTTTCTACCAGGAAACAACTCTCCCAAGGTCAGAAAAAAGGACAAAATGGTCATGCATTTATAGGCTACCTGACAACCAAAGACTCCAAGGCCCTCTTTATGAACAATAGCTGCATTTCAAACATGAAAGTCTGGACAAGCTTTTGAAAGGAATTTCTTTGCTGTGGGGGATACACATCAGCATTTCTAAGTATACCCAGCCTCTAAGAATATATGTATTCTTTTTTCCCCTTCATTTTAAAATCAGGATAGATGGCAATGTGTTAGGAATGATTTTTAAAAATGGCTACATAGAACATTTTGCCAACATTAAAAACAAGTTGGATTTTGTGTGTTCAGAAACAATTCCTACCAGACATTTGGTAAAACTTTACATCACTAATTACTATCTAACCAAGAAGGCTTTATGTTTTCTGAAGTTTAAGATACTTTTTTTTCCCCAGTGAACTGACAAAAGAGGCAAGACTGCTCTGGGGCCTACAAAGCTTTATTTCTTACAATGCAATAACCACAGTCATTTTTACATTTAAGTTGGTTCTTTCCTAGATCTCTTAAATTTCAAGCACGTATTCTTGCTTTATTATATTTAAAAAATTATAAATTGATTAGGAATTAAATTAAAGCATTACAAGAGAATCAAAACTTTAAAAAAACCCACTTATTTCTGTAAAACATGATCAAAATTTCTAATCCATGGAACACCCTTCTATAACTCTTGATCCAAACAGGCATACCTTTACAGTATTTCAGAGTTGTTAATTTTACTTTGCAAATCACAATTAAAAATGAATATACTATTGAATGAATATTTCAAAACAAGTATTTTCTCCACAGATTCATATCTATATAAAAAGAAACTAAAACATAGGATTTTTTTAAATTTGTTTTTAAATTAGGGAGAAGAAATATTCTTTGTAGTTTCAACAGATGTTTGGATATGAAAAGGGAGATAATATTCTAATACAGTTTACAGCAACTGTATACAATGTGGCAATGCTAATTCTTTTCTCACTTAACTGATATGCAGTAGCTATCTTTGTTGGACACAGATGCTACCACTGAGGAATAATAATACACTGATCTAACATCGTCAGGTGTTCTGAGGTGCTTTTTAAAGGTATCATTTGCCCAGACAAAACAGTTCTTTAATAAAAATCTACATAGCAGCTAATCTTAGTGCCAAACAGCATGATAATGCTAAACAAGTTTTATCTGACTTTTCTGTTAGAAGAGTAGGTTAAGTATGGCACTAAATAGTTATGTGAATGCAGTACAAGAAGGATCATGTGAACATCTTGGAAACGTATATAGAAACAGTGCAAAGAGTTGTTAGGTTGGTATGATCAGACTTTTACATGAATTTGTTTCTATTTTTCTCCACCTCCGATTCTACACGTTTTGTTATATTAGCTCAATGGCTCTGACAAGGTTATATAGTGTACATTGTTGATTACATTAGAATACTTCTATTTACAGCACCTTCATTACTGGTACTATGGTAATGATTGTTAGGCACACTGATTGGCCACTGATTCTTTCCTCCACTTATGTACTGTATGTTATTACATTTGGTAAGCATTGTTAGTATTGGAGGACTGTGTTCATTTCCTCAGATTCAGTTATATTGAATTATTCCAACTATATATGCAACAATTTTTCTTTTTTAATTGCTGCAAATAGTAAGCCGTATTTGTATTTCCATCTTGTGGATCATATTAACACTGCAGAGAAGGAACAGACAGAAACATGGAAATATCAACTCCTGTCTTCTTTAAATAAATTAAGGCCACTGACCAAGAGCAAGGAGTGTGCTAATTAGCAACGAATGGGCAGTACTTGTATTTTTCCATCTTGATGATCAGATAAGAAGCCCAAAGGTGCTAAAACACCACAGCTTATTTAGCTACTTGCCTTGCTGTCAGATTCTGTGCAAAATAAATTCAGCTATCCTTCATTTTGCTATGAAAATCCACTACTCTGCAACACAGCTTTATTCAGCGTTTAGAGGAGAGAATCTTTAACTAGGAACGCTGTGCACCATAGGTCACCTGAGTATTTGTCATAAACTGACAATGAGCTAAGGTTCTGTATTTGTTAATATTTGGCAAGGGAAAAAATGCACTACAGTAAAATCCTGCCAGTTTCAATCCAAGCCATTAACCCTACATGCATGAGGTATTTCACCATAGAAAATCTCACGCTAAATGTATATAACCTCACCATTCTTACTCTTTATCCTTTCACTGGTAAGGCCTCAAACTAGTACCCTCAATTTGGGAGCAGGAGAAAAAAACTGAAGATTTTAATCAATACACAACATTTTACTTCACGTTGTTTTAGCTTTTCCTTCTCAGATACCAAACAGAACCCTCCCCACCCCCACCCCCCAGAAAAAGCACCAATTCATCAACTTGTCTGAAATGCAAAAATATACTTAAAATGCAAATAACTGAAAGAAAATCAAAGCATCATTCTTTAATCTCCTTCTTAGGTTTAATAATTAGCTTCCAGTGAAGACCTAGAACAAAACCAGCAGCTAGTGTAATAGAAATTAGAAAACAAGTGCATAAACAATATCAGTGCAGCAGCAAAATACAAAGTCACTGTTAACATTCCAATTCACCCCATTTTCAATGTTTTTGTGCAATAAAAAGAATAGGCCATACTCTCTGGCCAAGGTAACAATCATCATTTTTTTTAAATACTAACTCAACCATTCTTAACTTAAGTTATTTCTGGCTGTCTTTTAAAAATAAAATGAATTAAATACAACTCTCACCAAAAGGAGAAACAAAACAAAACAAAAAATCCCCAAAACAAGGACCACATTTTATAAACACAAAATTATGGTGCAAATAAAGTAAAAATAAATATCACACCCTGAATGACAGAAAAGAAAATCTGAACTGGTTCATATGGCTGAACGTGGAGAATGTGAAAATAGGATTTTGTAACATATTTTTTTAAAATATTGGCTTAAGTCACTCAATATTTCAGAGTAAAGCCAAGCAGCTGGGAGGAACATTTTGTCACTTTGTTAAATTTCACTAAACTTCAGGTGTGATAGCAAAGTTTGAATATAATTAGAGGAACCATAAAAAGTCATCTTGACAGGCAGGGCTCTGTGCTTTGTGTTCTTCTTCTCAACCAACACTCGGTTGCCAAAACATTGGATATGAATCCAGAGTTGTCAACGCAGCAACAAGGCAGGATTGTCTACTGGATCCTTGGGAGCAACTTATACCTTTGTTGTGTGTGCTCCACTCGTTTGTTTGTTTGTTTTTTCTCTTATGTTGCATCTGAAGATTAGGGATAAGGAGGAGGCTTGGAGAGACAGTTGAGCGGGGCACACTGAGAGCTGGAATGTGGCTGCTCTTCTGGAAGGGCTACATTAGGACTGAAAATTAAAAGAGGAGAAAAAGTGCTTAAAACACATGGCCAAATCTTTACACGAACATAAACAAAACAGGTGTGGGCACAGATTTTCAAAGGGGATGAAACCCAGCTTGCAAATTTGCACCCTCCATTTAATTCAGGCAGTGATCTGCATATGTAACATCCCTAATGTTCACATACAAAATGGCCCTTGCACATGTAAATCTGATGCTGAAGATGTCCTGCTGTCCAATTAGCACCACACTGGCACAGATATAGCAGTTTCTAGTAATATCCTGGATATACCTTATTGAATTAAATTAAATCTTATTGAATTAAGTTTAAGAATCTTTGGTGCCCATTGTATTAAAATTGCAAAGTTTATACATGATTGTGGGGTTGTATGTGACTTCTCTAGTGGGGAGACATGGCCAGTATAAACCTTGGGAAGTGTTATGACTATATTAAACAATATGCCAGACAAACATAAGAACAGCCATACTGGGTCAGACTAATGGTCCATATAGCCACAAAGTTAAGTGGGGTTCCTAGGAAATACCTGTATGGAGGTCAATGCAAATTACCACCTCCAATTATGCAAAGACCCAACCTTCTGAAGCTTTCCCCTGAGGAGGGGACCCATGCTCTGGCTGATTATCTATTCACAGTTTCTGCACACTGAAGACCCAAACTGTATGAAGGAGTGCTTGTTCTGAGCCAATGAGGTTATGGACTGGTAACCACAGAAAACCGCCTGTTGGGGTTTGAAGAACTGACACCTACCAGAGCCCTTTTTGAGTTGGGGTGATCTCTAGTAAACTTTTTACACACATGCTACTTTCATTTAATGTTTTAATATGTTTTTTCTGTAAAGCTTTTACCTTCAGAAAAAACGTGCTTGCTTAGAAAAAGCTGTGTGGTACTTTATAACCAGGGATCCTAAAAATCTGTTTGCGGCAGAAAAACACGGAATTTGTGTTTTTACAGAGACACTAATTTTTACATTTTGTGAAAAAATAAAAACATATATTAACTATTAGCTAGATTTTACTAAAAGTACCAGTGTCACTTATTCAGTGTGTGCAATCTCCCCCTCTTGTGGTTGATTTTGAATACGCTTTAAATTTACATAGCTAAACATACTCCAATAAACTGCTTCTGGCATATACTGGTTACTCAACGATGGATAGGGTTTGTGTTTTAATGCATCTCAAATTTCACTTCAGCCTGTGAGTAATTAAAATTAGGAAAAGATACTGAAAACTTTAAAAATCACCCCTAAATACCGTGTCACTGAGTTTGGTAAGGACAAATTTCATATTAATGGTTCTGTACTTGTATGCAGCAAGGCTGTAGATTACAAATTGCAATTCTATTAATGTTATTTTATTATAATGATTGATGGCACTGGTAGGCTTCAAACTTGCTTAAAATTTTTAAATCTATCAATAAAACATTGTGTTCAGCTGATTCCTATATATATTGTGGCTATAGGGTGACCAGACAGCATGTGTGAAAAATCGGGACGGGGGTGGGGGGTAATAGGAGCCTATATAAGAAAAAGACCCCAAAATCAGGACTGTCCCTATAAAATCAGGACATCTGGTCACCCTATGTGGCCAGGAAAACTAAAATTCAGCATTTCATTTTAATCATGGAAAACCACAGATTTTAATTTTTTTTTAATTGGAGAATTTTGTTTTTTTCTATCGTGGAATAAACTAGAATCCCTGCTTATAACTGGGTAATTACACTGTTTATAGTCTCTGAGGAAAAAAGCAAAGCAGGCCTGCTTAGGCATTCTGACTCTACCAAACAGAGATAATGTCTGGGGACATGGAAGCCTGAGAGTGGGTTCCCCTGGTGGACCATAGAGGGGAAGACAGGTGATGTTGCCCTGAATTGTGACACACAACTTCTGTTTACATGCTTAGATGAGGAATGTTGTGAGGGGAAATGAATGCATGGGAAAAATGGTGGGATCGAATTTAAATAGCAATTCACAAGTGCCATTTGATTTGCACACTAGGGATTTTATATGTTCATATGATGATCCATACTAAACTGAGGGTACCAGTTCAGAAGCAAGGTTTCATCCGCTTTGAATACAATGTACCAACTAGTGCATTTGTTCAAATCCACTGAAACCTGCCTTTAGGGGCAGCACCACTGATAAGTACCCTCTAATGCAGGGGTTCTCAAACTTCATTGCACCGGGACCCCCTTCTGACAACAAAAATTACTACACGACCCCAGGAGGGGGGACCGAACCCTGAGCCTGCCCGAGCCCCACCACCTCGGGTGGGGGCACCAAAGCCCAAGGGATTCAGCCCCAGGCAGGGGGCCTGTAACCTGAGTCCCGCCACCCACGGCTGAAACCCTTGGGCTTTGGCTCCGGCCCCGGGCTTCTGCTTTGACCCCGGACAGTGGGGTTTGGGCTTCGGCTTCAGCCCCTGGGCCCCAGCAAGTCTAAGTCAGCCCTGGTGACCCCTTTAAAATGGGGTTGCGACCCACTTTGGGGTCCCGACCCACAGTTTAAGAACTGCTGCTTTAATGCTAGCAACCACTTTGAAACATCCCCAAGATTTCCAGTAATGCTTTGTTTGGTTTCTAACCAACTTTGGTTTGTCGCTTAAGACAGGTTTCATTGCCTATTGTTTTAAATACTAGTCTAGAAACAATATTCACCCAGGGTAAACTTCACCCCTTACAGCATCTCATTTGGCCAGGCTGTCTTTGCAGGGGTGAATTGCACTGCCAGAAAGCTTTTACATCTGAGGCCTGCTTGAGTTACAGTCCTTAATTTTTCAAGTAAAGCATCAGGCATATCAAGCTTCAGATACAGTATGTGAATAAAATCAACCCATAAACACCTGCCGTTTTTCAAACTGTCTGGGAAATGTGGGAAATGTCTTTTTTTTTTTTGACTCAGTATGTATTATAGCAGGGGTAGGCAACCTATGGCATGCATGCCGAAGGCGGCACGCAAGCTGATTTTCAGTGGCACTCACAGTGCCCGGGTCCTGGCCACCGGTCTGGGGGACTCTGCATTTTAATTTAATTTTAAATGAACCGTCTTAAACATTTTAAAAACCTTACTTTACATACAACAATAGTTTAGTTATATACTATAGACTTAGAGAAAGACACCTTCTAAAAACGTTAAAATGTATTACTGGCACGCAAAACCTTAAATTAGAGCAAATAAATGAAGACTCGGCACACCACTTCCGAAAGGTTGCTGACCCCTGTATTATAGTCTGTCTGGCAAGCACAGTGAAGCACAAGTGCCCTTGAAACTGCACTGTCTGACGTATATATTATCCTTCCAGGACAGAATTTTGGTGCATTGCAGATAGTGGCTGAGGGACTGCAATTAGTCTGCTGTTGGGAATGGATCAATTGGAAATGCCAAAGGTATTTATAGCATGTTGAAAAGGCGTAAATATGCACATAAAGGATTTAATTAGGGAAACAAAAACAACAAAAAAAGAAGTACTGGTAGTTCCATTTGTTCAAAGGCAAAAAAGAATGTGGTATGTCATCACCACTGTGATTTTATTATGGCAGGCCAGAGTTTTCAAATTTGGGAAGCCTAAGAGAGTTTGGTGCCTACCTCCCATTGGAATTCAATTGGGCACCTAACTCCCCTTTAGACTTCTCTGAAAATCCTTATCTAGCATGCCTAAAGTTAGGCTCTTAATTCCACGTTTAGGCCTTTAAACAGAAGACGCCTAATTATGGAATGAAACCTGCAAGGTGCTGCGTACCTTCAACCCCCACAGGCTTCAGTCACCGTTGAGGGTGTCCAGCACCTCGAAGAATGAGGTTCTCTAGGAGGGACTCACCAGGGGAAGGAGGGTTCAGCACTTTTGAAATCAATCCACTTCTCTTTGGGGGCTCTATCCTGCAATGGGCCGAGCACTGATCCAGCCAAACACTTAAGCACATGAGTAGACCCACTAGCTGGGTCAGTGCCAGAATGCTCAGGACCTTGTAAGATTGAGCCTCCTAACATATGGAGTTCGAAATTTAACTCTAGGAACCTTGGCTTGTATATTTTGGCTCAAATATTTTCCTAGTTGGATTTGTTTTACATTGAAAAAATTCAATGTAACTTACTATGATGCTACTTTCCTTTGTATTGTGGTGAGTGTGATGCAACAACATGTAAATACAGAGCTGGCATTAGGGGAGGGGTTTGAATTAGCTCTTTGTCTATTCTGGTCATCCCGAATAAAGGGAGTGTGTGTGGTGGGGGGGGAGACACAGAAAAGGGTGACATTTAGGGTGAAATTCATCCATTTACTGAGAGCAGCACAAAACCTCTGAACCTCTTAAGTCTTCAAAATAGGGCTTAAGTGGGACTTAACTCAGGCACAGATCTTGTTTTCCCCCTCAGTGAAGGAGTGAAATTCACCCTTAAAGTAGCAGGTGATAAGGATTTACTATGAGGTGGCCCCATAATCCTAGAAAGGTCCCATTTTTTCTAGGATTCCTGTGATTGGTTGATAATGGTAGTGGAACAGAAAGACTCATGCAAACGGTCTCCCACAGTATTCTTGCCAGCAAGTTAAAGAAGTATGGGCTGGATGAATGGACTATAAGGTGGATAGAAAGCTGGCTAGATCGTCGGGCTCAATGGGTAGTGATCAATGGCTCCATGTCTAGTCTGCAGCAGGTATCAAGCAGAGTGCCCCAAGAGTCGGTCCTAGGGCCGGTTTTGTTCAATATCTTCATTAATGATCTGGAGGATGGCGTGGACTGCACCCTCAGAAAGTTTGCAGATGACACTAAACTGGGAGGAGTGGTAGATACCCTGGAGGGTAGGGATAGGATACAGAGGGACTAGACAAATTAGAGGATTGAGCCAAAAGAAATCTGATGAGGTTCAACAAGGACAAGTGCAGAGTCCTGCACTTAGGACGGAAGAATCCCAGGCACTGCTGCAGACTAGGGACCGAATGGCTAGGCAGCAGTTCTACAGAAAAGGACCTAGGGGTCACAGTGGACGAGAAGCTG